AAGGAAGAAGGTGGTTGCTACCATCGGAGAGGTTTTGACGTTCTGGAAAATGTTCAATCTAGGGTTTAGCTGAAATTCAATGGAATGAAGTCTTTCAAAGGATTTCTAAGCTAGTAAGTGAGTTGGAATAAAGGTGAGTTACTATGATATAGCTCAATTCTAAAGTAAGTTAAATGTACTAGCAAAATGCTAAGGATCTAGACGATGACAGATTCATATATGTGCTGGATTAAAGAAGGAAGCCTCCCAAGTGAAGAAGTGAGCTTAAAAAGGGGAGAATTAAGGTGAGCATTACTTAATGCCACACTAACGCGCTACTAGATTTGAATGTGAACAGCTAAGTATAGCTACATAAGCTGGACATATGCTAATGAAGGAAGCGGAAAAGCATGAAAACAAGGCTGTTCAATTAAGCTAAATAGAAATCATGGTAGAAATGGTTTGCAAAACCTTAAGCAGAAATTTATTTAGTTAGGAAAATGATAAAGAATTAAGTGCATTAACTGATTTTGTGCATTGGCTTAATGCTAGACTACCTTTGGAGTATCGTGCATTGTGGATAAAGGTTTGATCGATGATGCTAGTTGAGCTACAGTATAGGTAAATTGACAGGTGAGTGGATATTGCATCAAAATGGTTTTGGAAATACATGAAATGATGTTTAAGTTTGTTGAATAGTGAATGTTTTTACAAAAAATAAATGCACAGGAACCAGCTATGTTTCTTTGATGTTGCATGAGCCCTATGATAGGTTGAGATCTATGTATGCCTTTAAGCATATGTATTGAGCTATAAATGATAGTTATGGATGAGTGTCGTGTGTATGTATTGGTATAATACAAATAAATGAATTATATGATTTCCACGTATAATGATGAACAACACGGCCTCGATGAGGTCGAGGAAAACTACCGTAGAAAGGGGTTGGAGGTGGGACAGAGTAAAACCACCTGAGATAATGATGGTCGAGGCACCCATATATGCATTGTCTTGGTGGGGTGGAGTAGCACCACCCAAGAAGGAAAGCTCATGTATGCATTATTATAAGCTGATGGAAATGATGAAATGTAATGTTTTAATGGGTAGAAACCCGAATGCATCTCCATTTTTGCTTAGGAAAAGGTGCATGAATTCAAGTAAATTGAACATTTCTTGTAAAACTTATTCCTAGCAGCTGCTTGTTCCCCTCCATATCGCTCACTCTTTTAAACTCATGTTTTATAGATACGGAACACTCTTGAGTCTTAGATGCGTGAGGGATACATGTACTCTTTTGGTAGGTAAAATGATCATGGCATCTAGTAGGATCTTCCGTAAACTCGAGTCAGTCCACTGGTATTTTAAAAAGATGGATTTTATATGTTGTCTAGTTGTTTGACCATGTCTTGTATGTATGTATATACGGTTATGTGACATGATGTAATTGCCCACAGTAGGGCTGTGTAGCAATGAGTTGGCACACTGTGAATATGTTTTGTAATGCCAGTTATAAGGAATGATAGAGGTGTATAAGGCTTACTTGGGCTTGGTAGATTATCTTCATCGGGTCCTTGTGTCAGTCACAGCCTGAGATAAGGTGTTGATAAATATATATTTGGTTTTATTTTTTTTCCTTTTTTTCTCTCTCACAAAAAAATATTGCTGGGTTTAATTTTCTTTCTTTCTTTCTTTCTCTCTATTATCCTCTTTCCTCTATATGTTTGGGTTTCTTTGACAGATGAGTATCTCTTACCTCAAGTGCATTAGCTCTTTTTGCCCTGCAAAAGCAAATCATTAGTGTAATTCCATTAGAATGGTAAGGTGAGTGGTTTTAGAAACAAATTAACATTAGCGTTTGAACATGTACCATGGAAGGTTTTGGTGCAGTACCATTGATAGTTAATTTTGCAAAAACACTATCTACTGACGTGGTTGGATCCCATTATCAGCACCAATCTTTGAGTTATCATAATTCACGTTTGTGTTGCATAAACATTTTCATCTTATCGCATTTGAATGACAAAAAGAAGTAACCATTGTTTACAAAGTTTGGGTTAAATGTCATAGTTTAGAAATTATTCAAGATTTAAGCAAACAATTTAACTGTTTGATAAAAAATAAAGAACTATATAAGAGGCTATTTATAATAATCAATTAAACCTAAACCTACTTGGTGTGTAAGTAAAGTAATTATAATAGCCAACTAAACTTAAACCTACTTGATGTGCAAGAAAAGAAAATAACAAATAATGAAGTATTCTAACCCTAACCTTCCTTGGAGTACGAGCAAAGTAAAAGAAACTATGAAAATATTCTCCCTAA